CTTTTTTTATTAGAGTCTACAATGTCAATCATGGAAAACGCAGTTTAAGGACTGGTCATGAGATAAATTTTTTATTAGTAAAAACTATTCTAGAACTATTTTCGTCTCGGTTACATTGGAGTTTAGCTAATAAATAATTCGTTTTGGGTACAAAATACTCTCTATAATAGTTTATAGCTAGAATCAGAAGTAGTAAGCGCTATCGTCTGTAAATTGTCGGTATATCAGTGACAGTGCAAATAAACGTACGACATGGGTGGAAACTACCTTGAATTTTTGATCACATCAAATTAAGAGTCGATGTACAAGTATTTGTTTTTTTACATAGCCTACAATCATAATAATTGCGTTGTTTTTTTTTTGTGTTTGAGCTTTATTAACTTGGCAGAGACATTCATGCGACAGGTTCTCAACTTCGTTTTTCGAAAATTTTCTCTTTACACATAAATGACGTAGTGCGTTCTCTTTTCTTCATGAGTTTTTCAAATTATGCTGTGTGCGTTGCAAGACGTGTATATTATGACACAGAAATCAAACAGTATTAACGACTGAATGATGAATGAAAATAAAGTTGCATTTGTTTTTCTTTCGGCAACGTATTAAAGACAAACATATGCATGGCTGGCGTACGAGAAAAATTTTACAATTTATAGTCACTCTTTTACTGTCCTCCGTCTCTCTCATATATATGCAGCTCTGTCTTTATTCAACAGCAACTACTATGAAAGGCAAGGTTTTTTTTAAATCGTTCGCATAGGTAAAAGTGAATCGTATTGTAATCTTATATAATCAAATAACATTTTATTATTCATAAATTCTATCACTATCTTTAATTTTAGATAGAAATATCTAGATATTAAGATTAATCAAATGGGAAATCATCTTTCAACAAAAGGAGAATCGAGTATAAAAAGAACCTATGAAAATAAAAAAAATACTTTAATATATTCGGAAAAACGAATCGTTCAAAACTTTACTCTGATCTGGTTAGATGAGACTATTGATGAATCGAAAAAAGATTGTCGGTATACTATCTCTCAACTAAGACAAATCGTTAATTCGATTACAATCTGTACTGATCCGACATTTTGTCAGAAGTTTATTGAAAAAATACGAGACGAAAAAATATTTCTTATTGTATCTGGAAAACTCGCCCAAAAAATCATAGAACATATTCATCATTATGTTGGCCTCAATTCCATATATATATTTTGTGGCTATCCACCGGCACATGAACAATTGAAAACACAATGGCCGAAAATAAGAATTGTTTCGAGTCAAATTGAATCTATCTGTAAATCACTTGTAAACGATGCTGCTCAATGCGAACAGGATTTAACACCAATTAGTATTCTGTCTTTGACTGATTGCTCAAATCAAAATTTAAATCAAATCGATCAATCATTTATGTATTCACTACTAATGAAAGATATTTTACTAGAAACGGACTATGATGAACAAGCAATAGTTGTACTTGTTGATTTTTGCCGAAAAATCTTCCAAGGTAATGAATATGAATTAAAGATAATTGATGAATTCGGACGAGATTATCACAAACATACACCAATATGGTGGTATACTCGCGAATGTTTTACATATAAAATGCTTAATCGTAGTTTAAGAATGCTCGAAATTGATGTAATTGCTGCCATGGGTTTCTTTATGAAAGACATTCATCAACAGCTCGAAAAAGAACATCGGACAAGATCTACTGGAAGGGCACCATTTATCGTCTATCGAGGTCAAGCAATGTCGAATGATGAATTTGAAAAAATACACAAGAACATTAATGGGCTACTTACCTTCAATAATCTTCTTTCTACAAGTGTCGATTTTAAGGTTGCCATGGGATTTGCACAGAACCGTAAAGGTCAACCAGATAAAGTTCCTATTCTATTTGAAATGCAAATCGATCCAATTTTAACAACAATTCCGTTTGCTTCGTTGAAAGGTTTGGGCTACTTTCACGCAGAAGAAGAAATTCTCTTTTCAATGCATACCATTTTTCGAATTACTCAAGTTAAGGAGAACCAGGATCATATATGGCAGATCAAATTGGATTTGGTGAGTGATAAAGATCTACAAATCGGTGAATTGATCAAACGTATGAGAAGTGAAATTGGCGATGGAAGTGCAACTGATCGATTAGCTCGATTGATGGTTACATTCGGCGAATTCGGTAAAGCTGAAACAGTCTATAATCTAGTACTTGGTTCGATACCTAACGATGATGAAAAAGCTCTTGCTTGCATATATAATCAATTAGGGTACACTCAATATAAACAAGGTAATCATTCGCAAGCCTTGACATCCTACGAAGATGCACTTAAAATTCAAGAGAAATTGCGTCCTTCAACTGATCTTGATCTAGCCAATACCTATAACAATATTGGTCTTTTGTATGCAAACCCGAATGACAGTTGTAAGGCAGTAGAATATCATCAAAAAGCTCTGAACATACAACAAGAACATCTTGATCACAACCATCCAGATTTGGCAAATACCTACAACAATCTTGGTCTAGCCCAAATATCAATGGGAGATCATAAACATGGACTTGATAACCTTTCCGCAGCATTGAGAATACGACAAATATCACTGCCTGCTAACCACCCATTGATAGCCTCAGTATATAGTACCATTGGTGGAGTGTATCAAAAACTGGAGGACTATTCAAATGCGCTTATATTCTACAAAAATGCACTAGATATTGAAGAACAAGCTTCTCATTCCAATCATCAAACTTTAGCTATGGCTTATTATAATATGTCGACGATATTGAACGATCTCAAACAAAACGATAAGGCCATACAATATGCTGAATCTGCTGTTCAATTGGCTAGTAAATTCTTAGAACCAAATCATCCAAATACAATATTGTTTAACGAGTATTTCAAAGAACTTAAAACAAAACAATCATGATATAATTTTTTTCTACAATACAAGATATTTCAAAAGTTTGTCGAAAAAGACTAAGTAAACAGTTCACTACTATAAAGATTGATTTATTTGATTCTTTTATCAACTGAATAAAGTCTGTTTAGAAATTATTTTGGTCTCATAAACTAGATTATGCCTTTAATTTATTGCGTCATAGTATATTCATAGCTATATAAGCTGCGGGAAATTTAAGATTTAAGCAGGGAGATACATGTTTTTTTTTGTTTGGTGTGGATAGAGCTCATCGAGTTACATAGGAAGAATATGATGTTAGATGTTAGATGTTAGAAAGTTGATTGCGGCTGAACAAAATTCAAAATAATGAGTTTTTCAAAAACATGCAAAATGGATGAACTTTTAAACATGATGCTAAATCGTCGTATTTATTGCTCTTATAAAATTCCAAAACTAGTTTTTTGTAATTCATCGTGTAGAACTGTGTATAAAATACTGGATTAGACGCTTTTGTTATCTAAAATCAACTGTGTTCTCTCAAAATATGAATAGAGTTTTAAAAGAGTTTTCTCTATAAATTGTAAACCTATCGAGCACCTTTTGTATGAATGATGGAAAAGGTATTTTTAGTAGACTACAGTTAGAATACCAATGGAGGAAAAGTTACGCATCTCTTTTAACAAATAATGATCTGTTGCTTAGAAAATCGAGTTTTTCTATATCGGTGATAGAATAATAAACGTTGGCTCATGTGTAGAGATTTTGACCATCAAAGTTTTGTTTTCAAATAAACTGCATGTTATGTTCAAAATCAGCATAAAAAACTGAATTGAGTAACATAGATTTTATTACAAAATATTTTGCATCGAAATCCAATCCTTACTTCTTCTATACCTTATGGGAAATAATTACATCGGGGTACCTCTACTCAGATTGAATTTCGATGCAAAGTATTTTGTAATAAAATTTATGTCACTCAATTCAGCTTTTTTTATGCTGATTTTAAGCATCACATGCAGTTTATTTGAAAACAAAATTTTGATGGTTAAAATCTCTACACATGAACCAACGTTTATTATTCTATCACCGATATAGAAAAACTCGATTTTCTAAGCAATGGATCATTATTTGTTAAAAGAGATACGTAACTTTTCCTCCATTGGTATTCTAACTATAGTCTACTAAAAATACCTTTTTCATCATTCATAAAGAAAGTACTCGACAGGTTTACAATTTAGACAGAAAACTCTTTTAGAATTCTATTCATTTTTTGAGAGAACACAGTTTATTTTAGATAACAAAAGCGTCTAATCCGGTATTTTATACACAGTTTTACACGATGAATTACAAAAAACCTACTTTTGGAATTTTATAAGAGCAATAAATACGAAGATTTAGCATCATGTTTAAAAGTTCATCTATTTTGCATGTTTTTGAAAAACTCATTATTTTGAATTTTGTTCAGCGGAAACCAACTTTCTAACATCTAACATCGTATTCTTCCTATGTAACTCGATGAGCTCCATCCACACAAAACAAAAATACGTCTCTGCTTAAATTTTTGAGTTTTCCGCATCTTATTGGAATCGTATAGGAAAAAAAGAAAATAATTTAAAACGAGTATTGTTCAATTGATTGTAAATCATCAGTCACAATGTATGTTTTAAGTATTGACTCAGAAGTCCATTCCTAACATAGAATACTCCGACAATTGAATCGAATACATTTTCAAATCAATCTATCTGTTGTATGATAAAAGCAATAGTTAATATCGTCATCAAAAAGACTTCTTTCAATAAAACTAGCTTTTTTTTCCAATGAGCATATGTTAAATAAAATAAAATAGATCTCTTCCAATTGAAATAAAACATTTGAAAAACAATTATATCTTGTTGTTTTTTGATAAAATATAAAGTCGAAGAAAAAAAATATACCAACAATCAAAGTATATGTTTTTCTTTAGTTTGATCAAAGAGGCTCTGAAGAACGAGAAAGACATTAATGTTTGGTGTCGTTATTGTGGTCGTTCCTATTGCTTATTACTGTTGTCCATATATGTCATTTAATCGTTTATATTGCATACAAATAACAACAGTTACTGATGTTCATGATAAAATACCCAATTCTGTAATAACAGTACTTATAAATATTGATGGTATGACATCACATGTCATATCAAGACTATTTAAATTTGATTTTGATGAATTTGAAGTTTGACTTGTCGATGATGAGAATAGCATAGCTGAATAAAGAACTGAATGATTACTAGTTAATTCACTTTGATCATCTGAATTATGCAAAAAGAAGAAGTCTTGTTAATTTAATTTTAATTAACTAATACTATACCAAGTTTATTAGAAATGAAACTATCAATTTGAACTGATTCAAAAAATTTATGTTTCACAACAGGTATATTATTTGTTTTAGCAATAAGAAATATTTGTGCTGTACTAAATTGATTCATGACATAACCATTACCAAAAAAAAAATATGTGCACCTAATAATACTTTTGTTACATATAAATTTATTAAAAAAAAAAAAAGACAAAGTTCGAAAATAATAAATAGTACAACATTAATAAGTAAATAATTGCATTTAACGTTCAATGATAATAATCTTCGAACAGATTTAAGACCTAAATAATTTATAGATTAAAATAGAAGAACGACGTTTTTGTTTTAGACAAATATCAACAATAATCACTCAAAAAGCAATACTACGATTAATAGCTGTTTCCAAAATACACATAATCAATGATGATCTAAATATTTTCAATTCAATTAGAAAAAAGAAAATCGAATTTCTTACTGTTCAACTTACTATCCATATATAAGGATAACATCTCTATTAGTAATTTTTCTAATAGCATACTTTTTAGCAATTGCTATATCAACTAAGTCAATTTTTTCTCATGAAAAACTTTTAATAACATCACTAAGTAATTCTTTAGCTTTTTTCATTAGTTATATTAGATAGTATACATCCAATATGCATTGTTCAATAACATATAGCTGTATTCATAGTTACAGTATTTGAACGACATTTTGTAAGGAAATTAAATTAAATCGATAAAAAAAAAGCAAAAGAATTTTTCATGGCATCTACTCGATATTCATTTTTAATTTTGTATTAAAACCTAGAGGATTAAATACTGGCAAATTATTTGAATCTGGTGTACCTTGATAATCTTCAAACATCTGCGATTTCAAAAACAAAAAATTTTTGATAAAAATATTAAGAAAAAGTATTTAATACTTTTTGGATAGCAACCAGAGTGGTTATACATCTTAAATTAGAATTGAATTTGATCATGAAATTAAAAAAAAAGTGTTCTATTATTCTTATGATGTGATTGGAAGCAGTTCAAGATTGAATGTTTTAATCGTGAGATAAACAAAAAGTACAAAACATGCATCGTCAGGTTTTTTCTTTTGATGTTTTTGTTGAGATTGATTTGACGGAACAGTAATAGTAGTGGGTCTGATTGATTTTGAAGTAATAGGCATTGTGAATTGATCAGTTCCAGATTGAGATCGATATAGATGCTAAAAACAAGTAGACAATGCTCATTAAACATAACTGTTAGGATTAGATATATGAGCTTATTAAGCGAAATGAAAAAAAACAAAAAGCTAAACTAAAAACAGCAACGCATAAAGAAAAACTAGGGCAAATGATAAACAAAACAAAAAACAACGTTTTCATAAATTTCAAAATTTTATCTATCAATTGATAAAAAGTTTATCAGAAAGAATAATAGAAGAATATGAGTAAAAGAATTTTTGTGTAAGGTGGCTATGATGATAGATGTTCCATATCAGTACTTCCTACCGATTTTTCTAATGAAAATCTAAAACAAGATGTATATGTACACTTTGTTTACATGGTAGAGCCCGGCAGTTCCAAAAAAATACCCAGAACCGCGGTTACGGTTAGTAAAACTAAAAAACAGACTCCAATGTCGGCTACTCAAAACTGGAACCGAAACCGTTCATCTAATATGAACAGCAAGCAACTAATATTTCTTTTTTCGAAGTTATCTCTTAAAAGCCATTAATCCAACATATACATGACAAAAAATAAGAGAAGTCACTTTTTATATGAAATATTCATATGGAACTAATTATTCTATAAAAGGGTTCTAAAATAAATTGATATCATCGTTTTCTGTCTTATCCATGATAATTATTGCAGAAAACAATATAATCACCTGCAACTTTTTTTGAAACTTCTTGATTACTATTGCAGCTGTATTTATACATTGATTTTGATTACAATACGAAATTGTACATTATGAGTTGTTACATATTAATGATATCAGTAAACAAAATCTAAAAAACTTGTACAAAAATAATAAATCAACACTGATTCCTTGTATTAGTATATGTGCATAAGTTACTTACTCAGTATTTTTCGTGACAAGCAGGATCCTATGTAGTGAATAGGTAAAAATTTGGTTTCTTAAGAAATTATAAAAGAATGAAGAAACACAAATGACACAATTTGTCATTAAAAATTTTAGGTTCCAGTTTTGTTTGAAATCGCCGGGCTCTATTATATGAACAAAAAGTGACCTGTTTATGGGTGTGAGTGTGTGAGTCTTTTCTTCGATCACACCCACAACCTCAAGAACAAACGAATCGTCTAACATCTTTGTATATCCTTGTCATTTAGATGTATGTATGAATTTCCGAAATAATCAAAAGGACCTTGATGAATTTCCCAATCCTCTTGAAACGCAAAGCCACATGTATCGTTTGCACAGTAGGTTACAGAGTATTACATGCTAAAGAGAAGGCATTTGTATCTACCATACACCAAAGTTATAACTAGTCTAGCCGAATCAGTTAAAAAAATATTATATATATATATATGGCATTCTTTTTCTAAAAAAAACGTGTTTCGAGCAAGTTCGCGTGCTCTTATCAACTTAATCAGTTAACGTTGTGTCAAAAATTGTTTTTTTTCTTCTGTTCGTCCATACTGTTTGATATCTTTAATTGTAATATACTTTATTTTTTTAAAAACAGTTACATCAAAACTGTGCTAATGTAGTTAAGCTCATCTTAGATATTATGTTGCTGAAGATCAAATTCAGGTTTCGATTATCGTTCGAAGAGAAACCTAAGGTTTGTCTGTAACAATTAAGTGAGACTATTCAAAACTTGCAGTTTAGCAATCTGTTAATAGATAAACGATTCTACTATTGGCATTATTCATAGATATCGAACATATTCATCTTTGAGAAAGCAAACAGATATAAATGACTAGTATATGAGATTTCCTCCTGAAACTTTGTAAAAACCTAAGCACGAAAAGAAAAATGAATATTTTTTTTTGTAAGCCATTTGGTTGGTTTCAATTTTTTTTTTAATCAGGAACCTTATAAAAGAATCAGATATAAGGATCATTAAAATAGAATAATTATTCGAGAAAAGGCGCAAAAAAAAAAATTTTACATATCTAGAACAAAATTTCACCTCTAACATCAATTTTATTACTTAAAAAAACTTTGTGAACTGACCTTGCCACATTCACGCTCCACGCTCACACTTTTTTTGCAATTGAATATTGTGCACAAACGTGCTAAAAATTCTATAATTTCATAGGAAAAAACTGAGCCTAATCTATGAATAATCCATTAAAATTTTCAGCATTTTTTTTTCTTGGTAATTTTTCTTGTTGAATAGAAAACTTTTATTGCATCTTCAAATCATAATAAAAAAAAAACATTTTAATTTGTTTTCATTTCACTTAATTTTTTCACAGGCATGACTACTATAGTTTCTTATTATTTAATTATTGCATTTTGCGAACATAGCCAATATTTTTTTTATCTCTAATTTACATCGAGCAAGAAAATAAGTACTATTCAATAGTTTATTTAAAAAATCAAGTAAGCTACTCTATTAAAATGCGACAAATATTAAAAGAAACAAAAAAGAAAAGAAAATCTATTGAATAGAACAATTTGTAATCTATTTTTTTTCTTGTTTTTTTTCATCAAAAAATTTCAATCCAGTTATTATTGCTATACTTATTAAAACAAGTATTGAACCAACTATTGATAAAAGATTTGATTTCATTGATGAAAATATATTTTGTAATAAAATTGAAAATAATATATTACTAGATTGAACTATTGTAAATATTGATGGATGTTCACGTTTAACAGCTTTTTGTGTTAATATTATTGCAAGTATATGTAATAAACATATTGATGAAGCACATAAATATTTCCAATTAAAAAAATCATTTTTAAATAATTCTATATTATCAATAAAAAAATTATATTTATAAAATACTTTACCAATTAATACAAATAATGTTACAATTGCATATTGTAACATAATTGAACTATTTTTTGTTTTATATTTCATTAATAAATGTTTATTTGATATAATCATTATTGATAATGCTATGGCAGAATATAATGACATTAATAAACCTATTAGACGTTGATAATAATCAATTGAAATATTAGTTTTATTTTTATTTGATGTTGTATTAAATAAAAAATTTGGTTGAGCAACAAATATAACACCACTCATTGTTAATAAAATAGCTATTATCATTGGTATCGATGGTTTTTCACGATAGATAAGTGCAGTTATAATGGCTGTCCATATTACTTGTGTATAACGTATTGTTATTAAATCTGGTAATGGTAAATAACGATAAGCAAAATAAAAAGTAAAAACACCAGTTGTAGAAAAAAAGACATTGATAAGTAGAAAAAAAATTTCTTGTTTTTTTGATTGTTGATACAATGAATAATGTTTTATTATTTTGCTATAGATAATCAATATTATGCTATGTAATATATAACAAGGAATTAATGCATCAAGTACATCTACTTTTAATTCTTTTGTTATAAATATTGAACTTGTAAATATTAATGCTGCTAATAATATATAAAATATTCCAATAAAACGCATTGCTATTGTTGAAGATGATTTAATAGGTTCTTCAGTGTTTACTGCAATTATTGGTTCTATTAATTTATCGATAGTTTGTTCTTTATTATTATTATTATTTTTCATCTCGATTTCAAACGAATTTTCATTCGTATTTAATTCAACTGTTGAACTAAAAAATAATATTTTATGAGATTAGTACAATCACATGTTATTATTTGAAGTTATAATCTGTAATCGTTTCATATGAAATCTTATTTAGTCATAAATTGATACTGAATTCGATAATAAAAAAATAGAAAAATTTATTTTCATTCATTTTGTATGAAAAACTCATATCTTTGTCCTTTTTTTTCTCTAATATGTTTTTACTATTATAGTTATATTATCGATTTTTTGTTAAAAAAACCCCAATACGAAGAATATTTGAGATTGTATGATTCTTCTTTTTTCGAAAGTAAATATCATTTGTACATTTGTTGAGGGGTCATACTCTAGCATGAATGAATATAAGACAGTTTTATTTTACCTTTTTTCATCCATTGTTTATATTACTATGACTAAAAATGAAGAAGAAAAAAAAACATGATCCTTTCTCCTAGTTTTTGCGTCGAATAAACTCTATGAGCACACATATTGTTACGGCTGTTTTTTTTTTCTTTCTTTCTATAATATACACTAAGTGACTCATTCAGTTGTGTCCTCTACCTCTATTCGTTCTTATTCTCTCGCATTATTGACTGATAATATTACTGATCATCCATATAACTGTAAGAATCATAAAATTATTCAAAAAAAAATTTTCTTTTCTTATTCATCCTTCATACAAGGTCGATTAAGACCGATTCTAAAACCACATATACCTCGTGCATATGTCTATTCGATTATATCAATTTCATTAAATTTCTTTAAGTAAGATATTCTCGTATGGTTGTGACAGAAATTTTCTCTGAACACCCTTTTGACTTAATTTTGGTGGCACACCATCTAAAAGGAGTGTTGAAGTGTATCAAGCTAGATATTTGAACTTCTCCACCATGAATAGAAAAATAAGGTCACAAATAATTCAAATAATTTCTCCAGGTGATTATTTGGTATTTTTGTGTGAGTTGACTGTTGAGTTTCAGCTTGTTTCATTGCTTCTGTCGTAAGTGGTGGATATAAGCACAAAATTCGCTTTTTCACACAACAGAATTTCGAATATGAACATCTCATCGTAGAAATAATGAAAAAAACCTAAAAATCTTACAATGAACACATCACATTTAGAATATTATTTG